CATTTCCAATTTGGCAGTTCCTTGAAGACCACCGTCGATAAATAATTTCAACCAAGGGCAAGAAAGAAGAAATTACACAGACCTAAAGCTGAGAAAAGGTAACAAAAGGATGCCCAAAAACACCTGAGATGTCAAATCGTCAATCAAATTGCAAATTTTGTTTTAGAGAAGGAGCAATAGTCTTACTCAGACCTACTGCACATGCACAAATCCGCTACATGGTGCAGAAGTAGAAGGTCGTGAGGTTACAGGAGAAAGTGGGGACGTGCTGTCCAGCTTTTTTTTTTTTTTTTAGTATGTAGCTAGGAAAGTCATCCCAAGAAGAACAAAGGAAAGAAAAAAAATCTTCCCACAAACCCATCGCTTACTCTTGCAGAGTTTCCACTCCTTTTTCCTTGTACTGGAGCTCTTGCTTCATCTGTGCCAGTTCTCGTTTTAGCCTAGAAAGCTAAATATAACAAAATAGTTTAAAGTGATAATATGTAACAGATTTTCTAATTAAAAATGCTATTCAAATACAAAACCTTAAATTAACTGGATAATTTTCAAAATTGAAAATGATAATCTAAGTATTTTTTCCTTTGCTTTAAAACTTGCATTAAAATAACAGAACATTTTCTGCAATATCACAAGATCTAACCAAAAAAAGCCATCTTTCAGAAGCATCACTTTCTTCATCTGTTTGATTGCTTTTCTATCTCCAATAGCTTATGTTAACAGCCAGCAAGCTTCAATCTGAATGATTTTTCTACTCCCCTTGAAGCAGACAGACATGTCTCAGAGGTTTTTTATTCTTCAGCCGTTTAAAAAAAAACTACTTTTATTTTTTTTTCATTTTGGGAGGGGGGGAGAAGAATCCATGACAACAGAAATGGCTTTGTTGAAGCCTGATTTCCTACATATTTTTTCTATTATCGCCTTCTATTCCACCCCAGTTCCCTTGAATCAACTGGCCAACATAAATCCAAAGTGACAAAGAAGCCAAATCTAAAAATATATATATTTGAGAAAACAGTCACCCGAGTAGATTAGGTCTACCTCGGAACAGCACATTAAGCACCATGAATGATCTGCCATTCCAAACCAAACAGCTTTTTCAAACTGGTAGATAACTGGAATAAAGGAGGAGGAAGAGCCAAAGGGACTACAGCTGAAGGGAGGAAACAGTTGTTGCAGTCTGGGGCCTTGGGATATAGTGCATAAGTGGGAGTCCAAAAATGAGATCTTGATGGATAAATTCAGTATTTGAAGTGGAGGCAGTAAAGCAACACAGAAGACAAGGCTATGAGGGACTGGGACACCAAGCAGTCTCAGGTGCATCGGAACAAGTTGTAATTTTTGTATTACTGTATTTTCACAAGTATAAAGTAGACCTTGATCAACACTTTAAATTACTGAGATTGTTTACATCGTGACACAGAAGTCCTCCAGCTATACACAAAAACGAACCCAGATCTTAGTCATGAATAGGGTATTTTTGAATATTAAGTTTCAAAATACTAAAATTCCACTTTTAGTCAACATTCATTTTTCATTACTGGTAAAAATGAAACAAAACCAATCAAACAAAAAAACACTGCCCACTTTGTTACCTGCTCAGCTTCCAACATCAGCTAATGGTTTGCAGCCTGGACTAGACCAAACTCACTGAGAGACACAAATCACAGATGGCTGGGGGGGATTTTCTGTTGAAGGGGGGATTTGGGCTAAAATGGTTGTACTGATTCCAGGTGGTTCAGAGAACACTGAAATCCCTTGGCCCCCACGGCACCCAAGGCACCCCAAGCACAGCAAGGAGGAGGCAGGAACTACATCATCCAAAAAATTCCTTTCTCCCCACCAACTCTTTCAACAACCACTAATATGAAAAAAAAAAAGCATCACTAGGACCGTGCACACAAAAAAAAACTTTCTATTGCAATTTTTATTGTATCACCTGTAACAGCTCAGTGTATATGCACACATTCAGTTGAACAGATGATCTTGAAGATCATTTTGTTGCAAGACAGAGGGACAGAAACTGCCTTATAAATGACCCTGTTGACTTTCTTCAAATATTACTTAAATAAACAAAGCTTATTTTCTTGTTTGCAATGTGCTGACATTTAGAGCATGCAAAACAAGTGAACACAAGTCAGCACGTAGTAAACATATACAGATAGAGCAAATGCCTTTGAAGGGTGGTGAGCAGGATTTATTTTCAGAGACACCCATGTGAAAGAGCGGTCACTACAACAAAACCAGAGCACCACTCTGCAAAGAGAAGTATTTTCATTTATTTTGTGATTTGAGTGCCTGGCATGCCAGTCCTCATTTTAATCATTACTAAAAAGAAATACGTAACGTAGAAATAAGTTATAAAACTTAATATTATAAAATACTTTTGATAGCTGTTGACGGCTGCAACACCAATTTGTTACAAAAAAACATGCAAAGCTTTACTATTCACTAAAGCAGCATGGGACAAATTTGAAAAGTCAACTATACTTTTCTTTCAGACAAACAACAACAAAAGCACAGTTCTATCCAAAAATGATTTTATAAAAACGTCCCTTATCACAGCTTCATTCTGTATTTGTATTTAGGACTGTGTATCACTACCAGAACATCTGCACAGTTCTTTTGTGTTCACTATGGAACAGCTCTGGGTAAATCAGCCAGGGAGTTCTACGTGGCCAACGCGTCTCCTGAAGTGTTAACTGACTTCCAAAGAAAGGGCCAAATGCAGAGCTCCAGTTACATCTGTGAAACCCCACTGAAATGGGTAAATGGAAAAATAAAAGACAGTGGGACTAAGCTGCAGTTAAGCTAGAAAGAATTTGGCTGCAGAGTATTTACTACTTGTGGCAGTGTATATAATATAAGTCATTTTTGAAGCCCTGGCTGAGTTTAGCTCCCCGACATGCTTGACAAAAATCTTGACACTTGTAACATGGAAAAAGCATTACTCTGCAAGTCATAGAAATGCAATAAATACAGACTCACTTAAACGGGACAGTAATTCAGAGTAGAAAAGCACTTTGTTTTGAAAAATGCAGGCAACACCAAAATTGTAAATACTAAGGAAGAAAAGCACAGGCACGTGGACCCCTTTCCTTCCGCCCCGCCCCGCAACTTATATTTTAGAGCATTAAAAAAGCGTACTTACTCTGTCACGACGGCTGGCTATCTCTGCTTTAATCTGATATGGGTCATACTTGGTATTAGTTGAAAAGCCAGAGAATGCTAAAGAGATGGAAAAAATAAGAAAACAATAATGTAAAATACTGTAACAAACACACTTGTTAAGAGGGAGTACTACTTAACAGACCGTTGCATTCATTCTTTGTGTTACAAGTCACTGGGTTTTAAAATAATCCTCTGTGCTAAAGTGCAACTGAAGAATTATCTTTGGTCTGCCTATAAATAAATAAATAAATAAATGCCCCAAAGGGCAACAACAAAAAGGAACTGTGTATAGTAGCACCACACACTGCTTAGAAGTACCTGGCTTTCATGAAAAGATGGCAACATTTACCGACCCACGTAATTGCTGTAACTAACAGTTGCTAATTGCTTTCCGAGTACATTGACATATTGGCACGAGAGGGACTCCAGTAACACAACTACTGTCAGACCAAACTCCTGCCAGTCCCAGAGGAAAGTTTCCTCCTGCAGCTACAGTGTGGGGAACAGGCCCTCAGATTAATCTCTGGCAAGAGATCTTTTAATGCAGCGTATCTAGAGCCGAGCAACGATTTCAAGCTGCGCTGTTGTAAGCAAAAGCCTCCAAAAACGAAGTGAGGTCCTAGAGGCCGGGCTGAACAAGAGCAACCAAGATTCATTGACTGAAGAGATTCATGTCAGCAACAGCCCACTGAAAAATGCCTGATATGCAAGGGAATGGGGCTGTGCTCTTACACCCACCACGGTGTGGCAAAGCTGATGCCTGCTGCTTTGAAACCCATCTCCACATCTGCACTTTGTGACACCAAGGTCACGTGAAGCAGGCAGCAACTTGCCAAAATCGGTAGTCATGCCCGGACCAGTTCTCTAAATTCAAGATTTTCGTAGCTTTTTTATTTTATTTTTTTATTACAGCGGTGATCACAAGTGAGTCACAAAACTTCAGGGGCACCTCCCTGCCAACCCACAGCCACTGAGCTCATCCCTCCTCCCACTCACACTGACTCAAGGACAGCACCCACAAACAGAGCAGGAGGAAAACATTTTGTGCACTTGCTTTTAGTGCAACATATTGAAACAAGCAGCATGGAGAAGGGAATATTGGCAATCTTTGGTCATCCAACTGGAGTCCAGAACCCCATAAATGCATAAGCACGCACCTGAGTGGACTGGTAACATTAACAAAAAACAAGTGTAAAAGCCTATGGAAATCTGAAATAGACAATATGAATATTCTCCATGATGATACTTTATTTTGTTACCATCTAACTAATCAGCTCAATGTTTTAAAATAGGTTCCCATAATTTAAGATCGGTACGAAATATTTTTAAAACATTAAGTCTTTAAACAGTAATTTATTTTAAAATATTCTTAAAGTATTCTCTTAGTACGAAATATTTTTAAAACATTAACTAAAAGGCTTTAAACAGTAATTTCTTTTAAAATATTCTTAAAGTATTCTCTTCAAAAAAATCACATCAGGATACATATTTTAAGTTAAATACAAGGATGGCATAATTCTTCCTTAGCCGTAGTGCCTCTGACGCTGCCTTTTCCTCGCTTTTGTGAAGTCAACACACTGGTCACGTAACTGCAGCAGGCTTTCCCTAAGCTAGCCCCCATGGCCACGGTGGAACAGTCCATAAATTTAGGAGTGCAAGTAGCTGGCCCAGCAACATTCAGCCCTCATCTTGCCTTGCACAAAGCTTCTCTATGGCCTGCTTCCAGTTTGGCTAGAGAGGCTAGCTAAGATATATTCCTTACAGCATAACACTAAAAAAGCATTATTTCTCCCGTCATGACGGGAAACAGGACTCCCTCAATAGCAAGGACAAGGTAACACCTCACTTCTGGGTTTAAAACAGGATGATGAAAACACACTTCAAATTCTTACAGCATCTGCTGGCAGAGGCAGGCGGGAAAGGCAAGAAAACACTAGTGAACTCACAGCTGGCATAGGAACGGTTGTCATCCTCACACATTTTGTGCAGTTGCTGATATTCTTCTTGAGCTAGTTCAAATCGCTGCTGCTTTATTTGATAAATCTCTTTCTTGGCATTGAGTGCCTCCTGGGCAACTATTAAATACTCCTTCAGCATGCGCTCCTGCTCTCTTCTCCATTGCTCCCTTGGGTCCTCGATTTGTGTGAGCTCTGAGGAAAGAAGCATAAAAAAAATGTGTAAGACGCCTTATCCCACAACCTACAGATTACTTTGTTAAAGTCTGTTTCACAGGTCAATGTCAACTCATTAATAAATGAGTTATGTGCTCAAAAATTTAGATGTAATGCCTCTACACAAGCAGCGTGCCCAACACTACAGCATGGCTTCGGGACAAGCCTGGACCAGGGTAAGAAGGATGCGGAGTGGAGCAATAAGAAGAGGCCATCTGATTATAAAGGCCTTTCTATTCTTCTCACAAACTGGAATAAACCAAAAGAAAGCAGTGTTTTGGCTTTACACTCCCTATAGGGAACTTGCACATTCTGAAGATCTGAAAACCCTGAAGCATGAAGGAGAGCAAAAAGTGCCTTAATGTTTAACCCACAACTCTACAGACAGCAGGAACAACTTAAAGACATCACATCGTTTCAATCCCAAATTCACAAAAGCACTAGGTTTTTTCGTTTGTAGATTTTTTTCTTTCCTATCTTAAAAAACACTCTTTTGCTTTCTCCTTCAGTGTTTAGGACAATTTATTCAAACACATATCTAAAACAGGATTCCAGTACAAAATCCTTCCTGTATATACCAGTTCACAAAACTATTACTTTAAAGCAACCCCTTTGGAAGGAAACATGCATTAAAACGCTGAAAAATTATTAATTTATATTTTCTGTTCATGCTGCTCATGATACTCAAGCTAGTAAATATGTTCTACACAAGGACATTCATACAGAGCCTCATATTAAAGGAAATGTTACGTTCTGATGGTTGTGGCTCTCCTGGCAAGCAGTCACTGCCAATGCAATGTTACTGTTCAAAGCGGAGGCAGAACTTGCAGCACTGTTGGGAACTAAACATCGAATCATTTTTGGCCAAAGAGAAATGAAGCCAGTTATGTTTAATTTTCATATCTTGCAGTGCAAATTCAATAGGCTAGTGTTTATAATGAAATAAGAAACTCTAATAGATTTAACTCAAGAAATGAAGAAGCAACACTGCTGCATCTTGCTGTCACTCATCTTGAAATTTGTGCAAGTTTTATATTCCTGAAATAGCTATTCCCCTATGGAAAGTGGGCAGGCATTAATAAATATTTATGATGGAAAATCACATCACAGTAAGTGGCCCCTCATGAACAAAAAATGGGTAATTCCCATCTCAGTAATCAGCCAGGGCTAAATACTATGTCAGATCCCACACCACACTTCAGAGGTGGCAAATCACACTTATCCCTTATTGGAAGATTGCCCCAGCTTCCTCAAGAGCTAGCTGCTTTCTCCTGAGACAGAAACACTTCTTTGCTACAGCAGGGATGTCTTCTTCTGTTTTATGAGAATGGAGGCTCCACTTTGCCCTGGATTTCAAAACAAGTTTGCCATGTAACAGCTGAAACTAAAGCCAAGTCGGATGACAGTTCCTTTAGGTCCTTTACAGCAGATTAAAAATGATAAAATAATAAAAATCCTACCATACTTCAAAAATGGTCCCAGACAAATGCGGGGAATATATTATTCCCCAGTGGGGAATGCCCAACTGGTTCAGGGAGACTTCAAAGGCTCTCACGACTCTGAGGAGGAGGGAAAGGAATTCTGTGGCTGGCAGCGGCCAAAGGGTTTTTAGGCAATGGCTGGCGGGGAGCCAGGGGCAGCTTAGCGAGGGTGTCAACAGAGCAGCACTTACAGGACGAGATGGAGATCGGGGTGGATACACCACTCAGATTTACACCAGGTTCTGCCCCCGGGGTGCTTCACTATTAATGGAAATATTATTATTATCTTCTGGGTAAACAAACCAGGCAAGGAGCTTGGAAAAACTACATGTATTACTGTTTTCTCTTAAAAGTTGCAAGGATATGTGGACAGGATGCATTAAGTGTGAGAGGTCCCGAAGAGTTTAAGTCCAAACGGATCTCTCTGAACTGTCTCTTGCTTTTTCTAACAGTGTTTCTTGAAACCAAGGCATTTCTAACTGTGTTGCCAATTACTACAGGGCTCCAAGGCTGCAGGTGCTCAGCCACTAACCTGTCCCCACTTCATGATACCTATGGTCAGTTATCCACCCATTAGTTTCCACCTTTATAAGAAAGCTAAAGTAGTTTTCATTTGTTCCTTGGACATTCATAGTTTAAAAACGGACCGAGGCTCCCAGTAATTGTTTGTGTAACGATTAGCCAGCTAAAACAATATCACCTCCTCCTTCCCACTGAATATCTGCTTGTATATACAAGCGCTGCGTTAGCCTAGGGGTGACAAACTCACTTTGCTGTGATGGCTGAATTACTGCTCCGGATAATATCTGTGGGCTGCAAGTAATTAGCTATCATGAAAGAGACAAATTTTGCAACCTCGTTAATTGCAGGCTGATCCCGCTCACTCCGTTCAGCATTGCCCCTGCAAAGCTGCTGTCTCTTACTCATCTGCCACCTCCGCTTAATTCTTAACCGCGCTAGCTTCACTTTCCCAGGCCTGTTTCTATGAATCTGCTTCTTCTTTCCCCTTCTCATTTGGAAATCTGGGAATTTTGTTCCTCTCTGCAAGGACACTCTCCAACACTTTTGTTCGCAATCACACAGAAAAAAAATGTAAGCCAGATCTGCCCTGCCTACAGTGATTAATATCCTCACTGTAAGTTTGAACTTGATGCCTGTGGTCATAACAAAAGTTGAAAAGCAACACGAGGTGTCTTTAGTGTGTAATTGTGCCTGTTGTGTCTATCAGAGGCTGGCTAGTGACGGGATGATCCTTCGTTAGTCCTTTCTGGCAGAGCACTGCACGGAGAGCTCACGTTCTGCCCATTGCCTACAGGAACCCTCCTAAAGCCTTTTGCAAAGCTAAAAAAATAAAAACTAAATAATAATAATTAAAAAAAAAAACAAGCAAAGTGGAGGAAATGAAATCAAAGCTGATGCCAATGTTTCGATTTAAAAAAAATGCCTTCATGCACAGTGATATTTTTGTGCATATAGCACACACTGATGTAAATTTCTTTTTAAAAAAAATTAAACCAGCATTAACTAAAGAATTGTTCTAGTTCTAGTCAGTTGTTCTAGTATTCTGTCAGAGTAATTATTAAACCAATAATTAAGTGACCATTTTCTCAACAGAAATATTGTAAGTATTACCTAACAAACTGTATTTATTGCCTTTCTATTGTCTAGGCTGTCTATCTTGCAATCAGTGTATTAACAAATCTTAAACAAAGATCGCTAATTAAAGAATAAACCTTAATTTCAAAACAAAAAGTGCTTCTGTGGGCCAAACAATATCATGGAAATGTTTGTTATTCTGTTTTGGGTTTTTTTTTATTAAGTAATTGTGAAACCACAATATGTAAGTAATTCCAATGATGGCAGGAAGCCAAAACTATTTCTACACTTTTATTTTTTAATTACACTTTTATTTAGATTTTGAGTAGATAGCACTGAAGTTGTTTTTGCAGATTACACTATTTACCACTGCTGTGATAGCCTACATAGCCACTTTCTTCTTTTCTCCCTCCTAGCTAACTACCAATTCCCACAGCATTGAAAACATTCACTTGCTAGTGATAAGAAGCCTAATGATGGCAACACAACAGTAACAGCAGCAGTAGCACAAAGCTCTAAAGATAAAACATAGCACTTTAAAAGTAGAACTGGCAAATGTGCCAGACACTGGAGATACCAAGATCAGAAATGGTCCAAAAGGGAAAACAATGGGAATCTTTCCTTTTCAGTTTCCAAAAGTCATCTTTTTTTTTTTTTTTTTACTTTTATTTGCGCTATATTAAAGCGAAAGGATGCAACACTTAAGAGGGACTATTATATTTCTTATTTAATTTATAGCACATTTAATTAAAAATCAACACTTTTCTCTGAGAAAGCATTGTGTTTCTCAAGATGTTTGAGTAAACCACGGGTCACCGGAAAGGCAAGAAGTAGAAAAGTGCACTATAAAAATCTTATCATTTAATGCATGATAAAAAGGATGCATGATAAAAAAGATGACTTAACAAAACAATATTGGCTTTATACACTGCATCTCAAAGATTTTACAGTTCTTCACAAAGTGAGGAAGAGTATTCCCTGCATTTGAAAGATAAGGAACCAGATACTGGAAGAAATGACTGGCAAACATTATCTCACTGTAATGTGAAGCTCATCAATGTTATCAGAAACAAAGTTACTGCCATCAGTTAACAGCAGCTTGCTCATATTCCTAAAAATAATCATACATCCACTCACTATTTATGTGGTCCATGTAATAAACTCCAATCTGCTGATCGTAAACAGTTTCCCATCCTAAAGGAAGCTCATCACCAACACAGTCAGCAAATGTCAATGGCTTTGTAATCCTGTAAAAATAGAAATAATGAAAATAAATACAAAAGGTGTGCAGTTTACAGTGCAGTAAGTTGTATAATATGTTTTGAAAGCACCTCCATGATTTGATCGTAAAATAGCTACGCTGCTTAGGAATGTGCTAATAATTACAAGCATACAGTTTCAAAACAGGATTTCGTTTAAGTATGCTGACAGATACTCCCCAAACAGGTAAGACAAGCTTCTTCCTTCAAGTTTCTATGTTTAACAGTTTAATTATGATGGCATGCCGTCCCGCCAGTTTTTCTCCCATATTGCAAAGAACACAAAAGTGAAGCTGGAGTTCACTCTGCTCACAATTACTAGAAGCTTTATAGGTTTTAGCTTCTCTAAACTGTGAAGAATGTCTAACTGTTTGTCTCTATAAACATAAAAACAGTACTGGATTATAGATCTCTCTTCAATTACACATTTCCAACTATTAATAATCGCTATCACAGTAGGCAAACTACTTCCTCTCATCCAAGAAAGAAGGGAGGCAACCGAAGGTGGCCATCCAGAGCATTCACAGCTCCTTGTGAATGTTAGTGTTAGAAACACTAACAATTAACAACAGTATTAATTAAAAGCTCAAAACATCACACCCCAGGCTGAGCAAATTCTTGATAGGTAACAGAAATACACAAGAGCATCTGTTACATTTAGAGGAATACTGGAAATAGGGAGTTCAGAAATTCTTAGAGATAGACTCTCACTAAAATCACTCTGGGACATCCAGGTATACAGAAAACCAGAGAGGAGGAGTGATTTAAATAAAAGTTCTTGGACTAGTTAAATAAAAGTTCTTGTTAGGCTAGATGATCTCTAGAGGTCCCTTCCAACCTTAACCATTCTGTGATTCTTAGCATTTCAGTTGAATCTGTCTAACTCCAAAGCATCATTTCAGGTATTACTTAACCTCTAAAATAACATATTTCTCTCCCAAACTGACTACAGAAGTCCTTTTCAGAAAAGTTACTAATATAATCATTTCCATTGTAAGTGGCATATAGATACACTTTACATGCTACCTAGAATGATGTCAGCCTTTCCAAGATTAAATATGTACATTAATTTAGAGACTGCCTTCAACTGAGCATATTCTGATTATCACATAACAGTACTGGCATAAAATGGAAGTTCTGTTCACATATTACAGTATCCAAACAAAGTCTCCTACAGCCAGAATTTGGATTATCCTTTAAATGCATTTGGGAATATAGTGACCATTGGAACTGGTGTTTTCACTTCATCTCGTAACACCAGTATAGATCAATAACTCTGTTCAAATAAGAACATGTCCTCCTGCCACCCCAAAATAAAAGCAGCTGCAAGAATAAAACTGCAAAAACTTCAAGTGATGGAAATACTACTATGATATATATATATACACGATATAAATACTACTATGATATATTCCAGCTATTTCAGAAGTCCAGTAAGCATTCAAAACATGTATCGTTATCTATATGCCTTGATGTTTTATCTATCTAACCACAGAAGCTTTTAAACATCTACAACTAGATAAAAAAATCCGTGAGCCTTCAGATATGTTTTTAGATAAAACCACTCAGCACCACACGTCATCTTTTTCAAGAACTGCCAAACTGCTCTTGGGCTCCAAATCTTAAACAGTTCTTCTGAATCTTACTCATTTTGCCAAATTTTGCAATAGATTTTGAAGCGCTTCAGGATCAATCGTGGAAGAAAAGCCAGAAAAATGTGGCCCAAGAAAGCATGCACATTTTCATGCTATAGGGAGCATGTATACATTAGAAATAAAAATAAAAACAGCTGCACACACATATTGTTCCTTTCTCTCTTCAGTGGTGTAGATGCAAGACCACTGAGGCTATGGCAAACACAGTGGATACACTAGAAAGAAAACGTACCCCTCTAAAGGAGCACTTCCACCACTAAAAGCATAAGCTTCAAACACAGAAACCAGGAAAAAAATTATCTGCCTTCTAAGGTTAATTTACTCCTCTTCAGATTCCAATGCTCATTAAAGCTAGCTTTAGTAGAATAAATCATTTGTCTTTCCTATCTTATACTGCTGTAATATTTTCAACAGCTTTACCCACTAGCCAAGTGGTGTATGACGAGAACAACTGATTTCTTTTACTGTTAAAAAGATACAAAAATGAATTACAGTTTCTTGAAAACATGCATTTATTTTCTTAAGAAACTGGAGCAGTAATCCTTATGTACCATAATTGTGCATTCAATCAGAGCTTTAGAACAAACTTGCAAAATTAGAATTTTAGCATCTATAGAGGAAATACTACTTAGATGAAATCAAGAGCTTAATCATACTATGCTAGAGATTCTTAAACATTCATAAGCAGTTTAATAAAACGAAGAGGCACATGAATGCAGGCAACATAGAGTGGAAGTTTTCTGTTACTGACAAATACATATTTTATTTCATGCAGAACTAGAACTATAAACTAAAGGTTATTGTATTCAAGAAAGAAACTGTTACTATGGCTTGACATAGGCATTCTTCTGGGAATTCATCGCATAGTTTGGAGGGCCAAATATTGCCAAAATATTTCTGATCTCCCTGGAATTCAGTCAAAATATCAAAATATTAAAAACACAACACATGGCTTTTTTTTTTTTTTAAACTGGGATGGTTTTGTCCTGAAGATATCATGTGTACAATTTCTGAGAGCAGTCTAGACACTGGTTCTTAAATTACCACTCTACAGACAAGCTCCTCTTTGGAAGGGGCTCGGAGACGTGCTCGCCTGTTCCACAAACACAGACAACCCCTTGGCTCGTGCCTGAAGCTCCCCCGCGACGCTCTAACCTCTCCCCGTGATCCCTGCGTGAACCCAGCGCTCCGTGATCCCTGGGTGAATCCAGCACTCCGTGATCCCTGGGTGAACCCAGCGCTCCGTGATCCCAGCCCGGCTCGCGCTCCCCGCTCCGTGATCCCACCCCAGCTCGCGCTCCCCGGGGAGGCCAGGGCTCCTCTTCTTGCACCAAAGGGAGCCACAAGGAAGTCATGCGTCTGCTGCAGCAGGTTTTCAGTCTGATGTTGCAAGGCATCCGCAAACGGCATAATCAATGGTCTTAAAGAAAACCTTGGCAGAAAAAGAACGTGTAAAAAGCTTTCTTTCACACGTGCGGACTACTTGCTTCATGCCACTCGCTGTAAACTATATTAAAAGCTGCTCCAGTTTGGATTTCCTTCAGATGGAGCGCAAGGTTGCACTGAAGTCATATTTACATCTGTCTAGCTTGATGGCTCTTCGTTCAGTTGAGCTAAGTGAAAATAAGCACAGCTTAAAATCAGAATTAAAAGTTTCTCACTGCGTTTTGCACTAGTTTAACTTGATAGAAAAATTTCAGTTCTCCTTTCACCAGCACAACCCTGAACACAGTATTTTTTGTCCAGCTAGGGATAACAGAGGTTTCCAGAAAAATAAAGAAAAAGTTGTAAGAGACACAGATAGGGATTTTGGAGGTCAGCCACTACCAACATCACTAGACTATGGAAATTAAGCACCTCCTGGAAGTACCACTTTCCCCTCTGTTTTATTGAGATTAGCTTAAACTCTTTAATAGGAGTGCTCTTTTTTTCTGCTTCTATATAAGGAATTGCACACGGCATGGGTACATCTGTGAAAACATTTCAAAGCCCTAAAATAAAGACAGGCCAGAAGAGAACCAAAATACTGCCATCTCCTATGACATAAAAAGCTAAACAAGGCCGCCCTGAACTTTTCTCCCACCTATTCACAGTTGTAAGAAATAAATTAAAAAGGCATTTTATCTGCCACTAAGGATCTTCCCTGGTTCCCCACATGATGTGAGACATCCAAAAGCGGATTCTGCACATCCTAGTGGAAACAGAATTCCCACGGGACCAATTTTTAACATTAACTGGTTGCAGCCACCAGACCTACAGCCACTGTGTAAGTGACATTTGTCCAGGGTGGCCGTTCTGGCATCTATCCGGGTGCCCACCATAACTTCAGATTAATTGTGTAAAAGGAAATGAAGAATCAGAGAGCCATTTGCCCTCTTGAAAAATAATGATGTTCTCCATTCATCAGACATCCATCCTTTTGTGGCTTTGAAAGCCTTCAAAACAATTACCAAAACACACAGGAAGCTCCTTAAGCCGAGAAAAAAATGTGAGCACTGCCACACACTTCGGATGTCACCACTAGCCAGACTCGAATTAAATGTTTGCACTAAGAAGTCAAAGTCTGGTATTTGCATGCAGTAATACAGGATATATTTCTGAAAAATTAGTTTTATTAATATTTTACGTATCGAGTATCAAACCACAACATAAAAATGAACAGCAGAGTATAACAGCTTGACTGAATCCTCTGCCTGTTTGTTTTTTTCATTCCTTTAATTCATTCCAAATACCGAGGCGGCTTTCCTGCAGGTAACAGGTGCTTCCCAAGTACGCTGGCAGGCTTTCTGAACATAAAACACTTACAGAAATGTCTGGAAGGCAACAGTTCATGGTAGGGAGCAGAGGGGAAGGAGAAGAGAGGGCAAAAGGAAGTAACTGCAAAGCATGTTAGATAAATTACTGTCCTCTGCTTCAGCGTTCTTTGTTAAGAGAATCTAATTTTAACTCCCCAAAAATACAAAAAGTTCCACCCTTAAATGATATGAAAACACTTCTAAAATCAGAAGGAGAAATGCTTCAGCTCTCTGACTCTCCAAAACAGAGTCTGGCTGTCAGTGTGGGGTGAGACTTTCTTTGTTGTGTTATTTTCAAAAAACTGAACTAGTTAGCAAACAATACAAGGCACCAAAAATATTAAATAAGACCTTCGCTCTTCCCTTGTGCCTTCTGCCACCTAAAATGGTCCCGGGTGCCTGAAATCTCTAGAGCTAACTGAGTAAAAATTCCCCCAGGAGAAACTAAATCAAGTTTTTGCCATATCTCGAACAGGAAAATCCAGGTAGAAACTCCCCAGAAAACTAGCAGCTGTCACATCTCAGACAATGTCTAA